AAATTTTTCCTTCTTTTTTGTGTCACCTGGCTTGAAGTTTATGTTTTATTGTTCTTTTCAAAAAACTAACTTTTGATTTCTTTATATATATACATGTATATATATACATATATGTTTTTTCCTTTTAAAATTATTTGATTTCTACTCTATAATTTCCTTAATTATGTTTGTTTAATTTATTCCTCTCTTCTTTCTTTAGTTTCTTAAATGGGAAGATTAGATTATGGGCTTGACATCTTACTTTTTTTCTAAGATAAGGCTTGAATGCTACAAATTATCCTCTACACACTACATTAGTTGCATCCTACATACTTGGTTTGTTTTATTTTTATTTTTGTCAAGTTAAAAGTATTTTCTAATTTACCTTACAACTTTCTTTTTGATTTTTCTATAATATATACTTCATTTTAAGGTATATACTTTAATTTTGAAGTGTTTAGAAATTTTCCTGTTATCTTTCTGTTATTGATTTCTAGTTCTGCGGCTAGAGAACATACTTTGAATTCTTTTAAATTTGTTAAGATTTGATTTATGATACATGATATGGTATATCTTGGTGAATGCCCTACTGAAAAGAATGCACTATTTTTTACTTTTAGAATCCTCAAACAGTTGTTCCATATAATATGCTCATGTTTTATAACTGCATTCATTGGGAAAGACAGGATGATGAACATTTACTTCATTTTACCCCAAATCAGAGTCTTCCATGTTACTTTGCCAAAATTTTATTTACTGGTAAATATTGGATTCTGAAATACTCTGCACAAGAATCTTGTTTTCAAAAAAGCCGTATAAGCTCCATATGATTTGATTATGATTTGATTATGATATGATTTGATTATGAAAATAACTTTCATATCTTAATGAATGCTATCCCTTTCCTGTAGAATGGAATAATTAATAGCTTTTCCTGTTTTCTTCAAAGGCTTGTTTGTCATATCTTAGGTAAGCACAGAATGCAAGACCTACTCAGCCTTTTTGCAGTAATTTAGAGAAATTTAAAGCAAAGATCTGAATGGGATCAGGGCAGGATCAGAACTCAAGGACGAGATCTGACCCTTCATGGGGATGGCCTTCTAGGGTGTATTGATTGGTGTGAATGGCCAAGCTTTCAAAACTGAATAGTCATCATTTTCAGTGGGCAGGTCATAGAGAAGGGTGTGCTTCAACCATGGCAGGAATGAAGCAGGTTTAGCAGTTTCATGGTTACAGGAGGTTTATCGAGCAGACTGTAAGCCTTTACAGGGATACAAGGTAGGCTTCTGGAAGAGGGTGCTGACAAGCACCAGGTCGAAGGCCTGAGTGGGTGTTTTCTGAGTATAGAGCCATATATGGGATCAGGAAACTGAGAAACAAATCCAGTCCTATGACCTGCTGAAATGCTGCTGTGCGGAAGGAAGACAGAACAAATGGTGATTCAGGGCAAATCCCACCCTTGGGGCAGCAAACCTAGTTTCAGCCTGTCACCTGCTGGCTAGATGAGAGCATCCAGTCATCAGAGTGATGCAGGTAAGGAGATGTTAATGATTACCAAGTCTAGAGAATACAGACAATAAAAACTTTCATATGCAGAAACAGATGTTAAGGTGCTGAGCACATGTTAAGACATATCTTTAACATTGTTGTTGATTACAGAGAACAAAGTACATTTTAAATCTTGCTAAAGGATATAGGCATTAAAGTTGATACACTGGGAAACAACGGGATTATATGAGAGACGTACCAAAACGCAAGGGAGGAACTACGGAGATTGTCATGCAGTAAATAAAATGGATAATGTGAGAAAGCCTGGGAATATATTATACGTAGGTTCCAGTCATCTGAAGAAACAGCAGGGTCTGTTAGGCCCCATCACAATAATCTAAGGCTAACCTATAGTTTAGTCACTGAGAAACTATGTTTATTACCCAAGTCCCTTTTCTTTCTGACAGTTTCTCCATCTCTGACCCAGCACTCTCTCACTCTAGGAAGCAAGAACCAAAAGTGTATTATTGTTTACAATAATAAAATTCTAAGGCTAAATACAAAACAATGCTAAATGACCCAGCATTCTCTGAGAGGTTTCAGATTAGCCATCCTCCTCCCAGTAACATTGGTACCTGTAATCTGTCAAAAGCAGCCTGCTCAATCACATTTCCTTTTCAGTCTGCTTTATTCTAATTCATCACAGGGCAGGACTGGCCCTGGATGTGTGTTTGCAGACAAGTTATCTTTAGATTAGCTTTGCCTTGGTGACCTGACTCTTTGCTGCCTTCAGCATAATCCAGTTACTCTTGGGAATATCAATTAAGGCCCTCAATCACACTAATTAGAATGTCTTCTAAATGTTGCCTTAGGAATTCAGCAGCTTATAAACAGGCAAATTGGGAAAATCTAGAGGTATGTGGGGCTTTTAAAATAGCCCACAGCTATTTGGGAGGCCGTAATGCTTTTTAGCACAACTGAGGAGCAGGGCTGAAATTACTGTTCCCTGAATGCAATGAAATCTCTAGTTGCTCTTTGCTGGCAAGTTTAATGCAGAATAATTAATTACATTTATTAATGACTTGGATGAGGATATAGATTGCATGCTGATCAAGTCTGTAGATGTCACAAAGCTAGGAAGATAGTAATTATTGTGATAACAGGCTCCAGAGCCAAAATGATTTCAAGACAGAATTTAGCAGCAATCTATCCAATACATGCCTGGCAGTGTTCCATAAAGTAAAATTTGATGGTCATATTGCTCCTCTACTTAGAAAAGTTTGGTGATCCCCTATTTGCTGTTTAAGTGACATCCCATGCCCTTAGCCTGTTAATTGAGGCTTTGCCATTGATCCTACCACTGTCTACTTTCCAAGAAAATCTTCTATAGTTCTTTTTCTAATACTTTGTGCTTGAGCAAAACTCAGTTCTTTATATACTATTTTCTCTTTGTGTTCTATGCTTTCACTACCTTTGAGCATCATTCTCCACTCAAAGTTTCTTTTACTCACATGTTCCTTTTGCCTCAAGTCTAAATATCCAAACCAGTTCAAATGCCACCTCTTCTTTCATTGTCTTGGCCAGAGTGACCCCTTTCCTTTGCTAATCTTCAATAACACTTATCTGTTTGCCTCTATTTTTATCACTTTTACTTTGTATTATAGGGTTTTTGTGTGTGTGTGTGCACATTTTAAGTTTCTGTTAGACCCTGCCTGGTGCTAGAATTTCTGTCTGGAAACTCTTTTTATCTCCTAAGTGTCTCTGGATGTGTGTTCTATTCATAGTTGATGATACTAAAGTGGCTTCCTTGGGGTTCATCTTTACTATGGAAAAGTGCCCTTAGAGAAAGCCCTACATTTGCTCACTGAGGCTTCGTAGTTATATGATAGCAACTTGGAAACTCAGAGGATAAATCCTTGAGGGGATGGATATTTCCATTTTCCATGTTGTGCTTATTTCATATTGCTTGCCTGTATCAAAACATCTCAGGTCACCATGAATATATATACCCTCTCTATATATACCTACTATATACCCTCCCCCCCACACACACAAATTTAAAAATTTGGAAAAGAAGGAGAAAATGTTTAATACATATTTTATTGAATAAATGAAAGACTGATGAAGAGAAAAAAGATTTTCCCAAAGCCATAATATAAGAGTTGGAAGGAGGAGGTGCTGGGGAGAAAACATCATTGACTTTATCAGATAAAACAATAGCTTCTGATATGATGAGCTCACCTGTGATTTGTGTCCAACCAGGCTAAAAGAGGAAGCATGAACCAGAGATTTTTCGAGACATGTGGTTAAGAGAGGTGACAGGAGTTGGAAACTCGCATCATCCTTTAGGGTAGCCACACAGCTTGGATTCCTTGTGTAGTTTATAACTTTCATTTTAATTTAATGCTCTTAAAACTGCCCCATTTTAAATGATATTATATGAGAACCTTATTTATCAAATACCTCTTTGATCTGTTTAAGCAGCTGCATACCTGTGGTTGTGAAACTTGTGGCATAGGCTATTTGAGATAATAGTCTTTGTAGTTAGCCCAATGTGGATATAAATCCCATCTTTGACACTTAGTAGAAGTATGATCTGGACAAGTTATCAAGACCTCTGCAGGCATTCTTATATGACTATTATATTCAACACACAAAGCAGAGTCCTTAAGCATAGATTTTCTGCATTGTCTTCAGGATTCAGTATTTATAACCCACAGAGGTTTTAACAGTGGCCAGTTATGTATTGGACAGTAGGAAAAGAAATACTTCACAGAGCTGTCAAATCTCCAGGTCTTCTGCATTAAATATCACACAACCAAATATAAGGGTATGGTTCACAGTAGTTGGCTGCTTCAGCTGGTTATCAATAGGAAGGCTAAATATCACAGAAATTAGACTCCTGCCTCATCATTTCTCTCTTCCAGTGAGAAGAGGAGAGCAAGAGCAGCAGGGAACTAGATTTATATTGTTTTCCTTAATGTAAATTCAGAGTGTGATGGATTGCAGAGAAAGTCTGAATCCAGGATTCCTAGGCTTTCTACATGTCACTAAAAGGGAAAATTACCTGGATTGTAAAATATTCCCACTAGAAATACACCAAGGGAATGCAAAGAGGGGTAAGAAGGTTGAATTTATCTGTCAGAATGTGAGTCCTGGTCAGAAAATCCAGATGAATATTTTTTAAGTAGGCAGTTATAGTTCAATGAAAAAAGAGAGAGCTGTAGAGACAGACAGCTGGAGTTTGATCATAGCTCTACCACTTTCTAACCAAAGGATCTTGGTTATATTATTTAAACTTGTCTATGAAATTTCTTTATCTGCATGTAATATGGGAATTAAAAACAACAAAACAAAGCAAAACCAAAATAAAACCTGTTTTATTAGTTGGTTCTGACAATTAAATTTGTTAATACTATAAAATTCCTAGAACAATCCCTAGTCTATAGTAAGTATGCATGCATGCTAATTATTATCATTTAAGGTTTGAAAGTAATAAGTGATTCTCCTTACCTTTGTATTTATGTTTATAGGATGACACTTCTGTGGTATGTAATGAGTCTCTACTTTTATGGAATTCTGCAAAGTGATGCCTCAGGTAAGTGAATGGCTTTTGAAAATGTATTAAAATGCAAGTCAGGCATAGAGTAATGAGTTCACTCTTCCTGAGAATGAATTTAAATGAGCATAATGTTATTTATGTCCATTGTCTTCTGTGGTAGCAAGTAATCATAAAGCAGAATAATAACAGAATTTTGGTGATAGAACCACTGATGTCTCTAGTCTTCATGGGATAGCATGCATAGGAGGAAAGTGGTCTGCTATGTTTAAATACAGGAATTTTCATCACCTTCACGCTAAGCCAACTAGAATATTGCTGTTTTCCCTTACCTCAGGTCCTATGGGGAAAAAGTGGAAGTGATAATAGCACAATCTGTTTTTCAGATTTGAGCCAGTGGTGGAGAAGGCATCAGTGGTAATTATCCATTGAGATGTTAAATGACATAATGATGAGCTTTTGTCATATTGTTTCTATATAGGAAAAAAAGAGAATCTGTCTTTAGACTCATTCTTTGGATGTTACTTCATAAGAGGAGCCAGCTAAGACCTTTATTGAGATTAAAAACCAAACTCAGTCATCATGGGCTTGGATCACATGAAATTAGAGATGGAAGAGACTTGCTATTTGAAAATCCATCTTTTCAGGTCACCTCTTCTTCCCAGAATTATGCCCAGAACCACTCTCTACCTCTGACTATTAATCATTAAATTGCAGCCTATGTTTTTGGACTAATCAAATTCTTAGAAAGTTTTTAGTACATAAAACTGAAATTTGTCTCTTTCTAAGTATTTGCTTGGTTCAACTGCAGGACTGGAAAAAAAAAAAAAAAAGATAAGAAACAAAACAACCAAAAACCTAATGCAATGGTTCTCTAATTGTAATAAAGGGAACCTAGAGGTCCTCATTTTATAAAGCTTTTCAGGTAAAAGTCCCCTGAACACCATGAACCATGCTTTCCATATCATTGTTTTAATTCCTTTTCTGTGTGAGAGGGCTTCCGATATGTTTAGTTACCATATAACCATGACCTCAGTGTTCTGCAATATATGCCTTCAGCCGTTTTTCATATGCCATGGATCTGAGCCCTCCTACCATCCTGATCATCTTTTCTGGGTACATTTCAGCTTTTCTGTGCCACATAAAGCATTGTATTGGAAAGCAAAAATAGCACTAAAGGAGTGGTGTAAGTAGGACAGAGTCAGCTCAAAGCTGAAAGGAGAGGTAACTTCTAGCCTTGTTGGCCTTTGGAGCTTCACAGAGGAAAGGCTGTGGATAACCGGGGCTGCTGTTCAGCTGGGATGCACTTTGTCCAGCATTGATCCTGCTTGGTTAGGTGTCCCATTTGATAGGTGAATTTCTTGATTCCTGATTTTCAAATGTGGTAAATATAATTCTTGATTTTAATTTGTTCTTCTTTGATTTAGTTGTGTGTTTGAATGTTATCGGCTCACAGAAGCTTCCTTGACCATCTTAACTAAAAATCCCAACCAGTCACAGTCTATCCCTCTATCCTGTTTTGGCTTTCTTTTAAACGCTCACATTTCCTGATATTATATTAACCTTCTTTCTCTTGTGTCCCTCTCCTCCCTCTTCATCTTCCTCCTCCTTTTCCTTCCTCTTTTTCTTCCCCAACTCCTAGTCCTTCCTCCTTTTCTGCCTTCCTGCTTTTGTTTCTCTCCATCCCTTTTCTTTCCTCCTTCCCTCTCTCTGTCTTGGATTTTAAGCTGCCTGAGGGCAGGAAGTTGTTCAGAAACTTTTGTTTGTTATCCAAACACTCAGAATAATGATTGACACATAGACACATAACAGATGCTCAATATGTAGATGTCAAATGGTTGAACATATGCCCCTTTACATCCCTTCCCCTGCCCCTAAACTGTCTAGTTTTATAATGGAACCTGTTTGGGTTCATGCCAGTAATTCATGATGTGGTTTTTTGTTCTCCCTCATCTTGAAGGAAGAGGGAGAGGTGACTGTGTTACCATTGCTGAAGGATCGTGAAGGTTCCAGAAGCTAGTGAGTGCTGGTGCCTTCCCAGCGGTCCTGGCGATGTTACTTTTTTGAATGACCCTTACTGTAATCCATCCAGGGAGTCCCCAGCCCCCACCTCAAGTGCTGTTGGTAAGAGAGCTTTCTACCCAGGAACTGTGACTCATAATTCTGCTAGGGGAAACTAACGTCTTGAATAAGATAAGTTCTCATACCAGCCACATTGCGTCACCATGAGAGCAGGAAACATGTTGTAATCCCCACAGCCCATCTGGCACATACTCATTTGCCTTCCTAATGAAGAGGTGTATTGTGTCTGACAGTGATGCCACTTCCTAGTTGGAGGGAGAGGAACAAAAAGGACATGTTGTTGACAAAAACGAAAAGAGCAACTAGCTCTGGGCTAGTGGGGGAAGAAAGAAAGCATCGCACATCTTGAGGGATCAACCAACCTCTCTGCGCATGAAGGTATTGCCTGTTACACGGTATCTGTGGGTGCTGACAGATTTGTTGGTCTTTCGTGAGACTCTCCTTGTGCTCAGGTTCCCATCTCAGCGGAAACACAAGTTGATGTTAGGGACAAAGGAGGAATGTTCTGAAAACCCTAAAGCACTCTACATGTATATCATAGTAGTAAGACATTTATTTTGTTGTTCTGAGTCCTTCCGTGTGGGCTTTTTAAGAGAAGCCTCAAATATAAAAAAAGAAACCATAGCAGCATCAGAGTTTAGCGCCACGCAGTGTGTTTTCACATGCAGTGAACTGGCCTTTAAGTCATATGATTCTGACTTCAGATCAAGATTTTTCTGGTAGCAGTAATGTGATCTCCTTATCCCCTCAGGAATGGGGAAGCAACATTTTCATCTTAGCTGGTGATAAAAGCAAATAATTTTTGTAAAGAGCTTTATTTCCCTTTAAGGAATTGAAGCTTAGATAATTATAATAGTGATTCTATAATTATAATGTGCTAGTTATGGTAATAATAATAAAGCTCCCTCTGCTTAAAAAAGCAGTTTGCATTGTACATATTCAGTGTCATTCTCACACCCAAACCATGGGGTAGTCAGAGCTGTCATAACCACCTTTGTTGGATAAGACAAGTTACGATCAAAGTATTTAAAGGTATTACTCGAAGTCACACGGTTATACTTAGCATGCCTGTAACTTCAACTAGTTTCTCGATTCCTGACATCAATATTATTTTTACTAAATATGCTTCAGTTGGGGTCTACTAGAATATAAATGATTTAGAAAGAAGTTTGAGATCTAAGGGACCACAGGTAATCAATCATTTTGCAAACTGTTAAAGAACCACTCTGTGATAGGTCTCTATGCTTTTTTGGTAAGGAGTATCTTTCCATCATTACCCTACCCCTTCACAGCACTTAAACATTTTCTTCAGGAGGAAAATGATTGTAACCCAAAATTCAAACTCAATATTCCTATTTTTGCTTCTTATAGTATTAAATATTTTTACTAATAAACTCAAAGAGGTTCTGTTAGTAAGACTACGAAATGAACACATCAGCTCAATACACATCTCTTTTGCTGGGCTTCATTGGCAGCATGTAAGGAAGCTGAACCGGTAAAAGCTGCCTTTGGAGTAGAAATAAATTTTGGAGCCTGTGAGCCCAAGTTGAGGCGATAATAAAAATAGCACCATATAGAATATAATGAATTTAAAAAATATTACCATAGCAAAATTATTTGCTGCAAAAACCACACGGAAAAGACAGTGCACTGCCTCCCCAAAATGCAGGCACACACACAGACCTTTGAAAAAGATTTTATTTCAAAGTCAACAGTTGACTGTGTGCCAGGCACAGGGCTAGATTTCACACACATTATCATTAACTTCACAGGAAACATTGTATAGGGTAGGGGCTAGAAACTCTTCTACCTGTTTGATAGTTTGGGAAATGAAGCTCCAGGGTACAGGTAGCCCAGTTGCATGATGCTCATGATGGCATGCCTGATAGAGCTACGCAGGCTTGACTCCAGAAATAGTGCTTTTTTTTTTTTTTTTTTTCTTAAATCCATACTACATTGTGTTTCTTTAGGACTATGCTCTGCTAAGAGAAGTAAGATCCTCTGATTCCTTTTTCATTATATTTTTACAAAATTTGTAGAGAATGGAAATAATCTATCAAATTATTGGGAGTGAATTACACAATGCAAAATAAATAAATAGTAAAAAACACTGTGATTTCCTAGTAATTGAGAGATTTAAGTTCTGTTTTACTCTGTGAGTTGTTTGAGGACAGTAAAGCTGTCATTTCATCATTTTTTATCACCAGACAACTAACAAACAACAGCAGTAGACCCCAATCAATTCCGGTTTCTTGTTTTTCATGAAGGAACATTATGCATCATGGACACCCACAGGGTATATTCCTCCTCTTAGTTACTTACATTGCTTCTAATAACAATGTTAACAATAATTTCACTTTATTCTAAAGATCATGTGTTTGACCATTTTATATTGTACAACCCAGGGTTAGTAAGAGGAGTTTCTTATTTAAGAGTAATACAGTAAGGTTTGAGAGAAGGAAGAGAAAACAATTACCAAATAGAATGCCGTGGGAGCAGAGAAAGTTACCCATCCTGTCAGGAGATATTGGGGAAGACTTAATCATTGCGCTTTCCTAGGAAGAAATGCATCTCTTTTTGGGAATGAAAGAGTTCAGGGCAACTGAAAAGACAGTATGAAGGCATTTAGAAGCCAAGCTGGAAAGACAGGTTGGGAACAAATTTTGCAGGACAGAAATTACTTCACATGAAGAAAATGTCCACATTTAATGTATTTTGGTTGTAGTTGGCTAGGTGTCTTTCTTTTTTAAATTCTGTCTTACTTTTGCAAGGACATACAATATTATTAATTCTATGTGATGGTTCTTTAGCTTCTGGTAAGAATTCAATTTGTTGCCAGCCCCAATGGCCTCATTTTATTTGAATATCCTTGCTTTAAAAACTCCATACTCAGATATACTTGTGACATTGCTTCCTGTACTGGTTGCCCATGACTAGTCATCCTGAACACTTTTCAT